CCTTGTTTATAGGAATAAGAAGTAAGAGAATAAAAAGTTCTTGTTGGATTTTCTTTTAAAGAGGATTTGATGCATCTTTATACAAGTAGATTTTTTAGAATCATCTGGTGTTCGTTTTGCAAACTGTCTTCATGAGTGTATTCTAGACATATTTTATATTTTTTGACTACTTTTCATTACTTTTGGCGTCCTATATTTCAAGATGTAAATAGAAATTTTATATTTTTTGACTACTTTTCATTACTTTTGGAGTCCTATATTTCAAGATGTAAATAGAATTATATAAATATTATATATTAAAATATAATAATTAAAAAATTTCCGTTTATATACTTTATTAAAAAAATAATTATCACATATCCTAAGCCATTACTTGGATCCCTCCCATACATATTTAATTTTAACATTCTCCAACAAAGATGCGTAAAGAGAGAAAGGGAGAGATTTTAGCGAGGGAAAGTTCGATTTGGAGGTCGTTGAGCCGATTTTGTCTGTCAGGCCGGTTGGGAAAATTTTTTGGCTCTAGGTAGGCTACTATTAATCTACATCAATTTTCAATTTTATTGGGTTTTCATAATGTTTTGGTATTTTATTTATCAAAATTTCGTGCAAACTTAAATCTGTGGAGATTTATAAATTTTTCACTGCACAACTTTTTATATGTTGTAGATTAAATAGTACTGTTGGACATATTAACGTACAAATATTTCTTTTTTTATCATGTATTTGTTGTATAGTTGGACGTGTGCATTAAACTTGATAAACTTATTGTAGAATAAGAAATGCTTTAAATATTATTTTGGAAATTCTATAAAAGTGGTTTTTCAAGTTGTATTTGCCAATATGTGAAGAGTTGTTTTTTCCGTAAATTACATTATTATTTTTGTCTACTGGTATGTACTACTTTCTATAGCATATTGTGAAATTTGATATATCAAAATTATTAGCATTTATATGATTTTATAACATAAAAATGTACCATAAATGATGATTAAAAATGGGGGAGTTGTAGGTGATTGTGGTTGGACGACTATATATTATGTGCAATTAAGTGGAGTTATAAGGGGTTTTGCACCTATGAAATATTCATCCGTGCATTTGATACGCTTGAACATATATGAATAAGTGAATATATAAATGGAAGTGAAATTATAAGGGGCATAGGTGAAATATGAAGAAAGTTAATGTATAAGTGGAAGTAGAGGTACAAAGAGCAAAGAAAAAATATTAAAATAGTTTAATTAATTTTCATGTTATTTTCTTTCATTTATGATATCATATTGCTTATACTGTTACTCAGCACATGCCTATTATAGTTAAAATTTTTTGTACTAGCACTGTGATATATATATATTATACATGATGTTCTATCATTTTTAATTTATTCTTTTGAATATATGTCTATTATTTTTTTAATATTAAAAACTGCAGCAGATTTTCAATAGCCTACTGAGCTGTAGTTGTTCACCGCTGTTTTACTTGCATGTGTTGTTTCAAGAAAGGAAAATGAGTCAGGTTGAGTAGAGACTTTCGTGTTACTGGTGAGAGCCTGATATTAAATCTGTCAGTCCCGAGATTTATATTTTTGACAGTCACGGTGATGCTTATTTTATTTTGATAAAAATATTAAATCATGATTGTTGTATAAGTTTCCTTTATCGTGTATTGATATGATCTGAATGAATTTTGAAAAGTTTTATTTTATAATATTTGATGATATTAGCAGCTCTAAATTTATCAAAATTGAATAGAAAATAAGTAAATAAGATTCATTCTAAATAGAAATTAGGTAATAATTTATCTGTTATGACATCAGCATGATGCGACCCACCTCAATATGACGGGTTGCAACAAGTTGGGTTGTAACAAAGATATCAGATAAGTAGCTCCTCATGCGATAGTCTTTAGGCGCTAAGATACATTTCTATTTGAAAATGGTTAGATATTTCAACGAGTTCAGGTGAAAAATGGTTCTTGAAGTGGTGTCGTAATTTGAACTCGCATCCATAAATATTCATATCAAACAAGCACGAAGTCCTAAGGCAATCAAGAGACGAAAAAATATATGTTGGAGTCACTGAAAAAAAATGTTTGACCATGTTAACTCACTATTGGTGAGAAAATCACCTCAATTCAAGTACAAGTTTAATAGAAAGAAGATCGAGAAGACATAATGCACTTGGAAACTAGAAGACGTAACAAAGAAGCGTCCAAATGGTTTTTCTAATGCCAGATTAAAAAAAAAACATTATAAGAAAAGGAGAGACTAAAATGAAATATTGATATTGTGTCTAAACCATCTATAAAAATCATTTGTTGATAATTATCATTTATAGATAAGTGTATATTTTTGTATCAATCCATATATGTTTACTATGATATAGCAGCAGAAGAGAAGATATTACAATGGATAAGACATTTAATTCTCATATACTTCAATTAATTTCTAACAATTTGATTATATTCCATTTCAAATGAATATTTGATGGTTTGACATATCTAGACATGTGTAAATTAGAATATGAATTATAAAGAAATAATAAATTATGATGTTATCCAACTTCTTTGTGGTGGTGTTGAAGTGAAATTGAGGTGAATTGATATTGTGATAGTATTGTGGTGATATTATGGTGCTGTTGTGATAATATTATGGTTGTATTATGGTGGTGTTAAAATGTAATTGTGGTGGTAATGTTGTTGTACCGTGGTGATATTTTGTTGATATTGAAGTGGAATTATTGTGGTATTTTTGTAATTGTGGTTATATAATGATGTTTTGTTATGATATTGTGGTGATATTGTTGTAGGTGGTGGTAATGTTGTTGTACCGTGGTGATATTTTGGTGATATTGAAGTGGAATTATTGTGGTATTATTGTAATTGTGGTCATATAATGGTGTTTTGTAATGATATTGTGGTGATATTGTTGTAGTATGATGATGACATTATGATAGTATTATGATGATATTATATCCCTCTGCACAACCTCAATACCATCACAATATCTTCACAATACTACCATAATACCATCATAATATCACTAAAATATCATCACAATGTCACCGCATTGCCACCACAATACGAATCCATCGTATTTCCCAACTTTACTCGAAAATCACAACAATACCACAAAAAAAGTGAATGTTGTTGTAAAATGAAAATTTGCATTAAAGATCATTCTACACATCACTCGTCCGGATCAAACCATAAAGAATAATTGTTTTTAAAGTTTGACATTAATCCCAACCATATCATTAGGCCATTATTTCTAAAGATAATATAATTGAAATAAAGATTATACAATAAAAAAAATTGAAATGCTTGAAATCAAAGTACTTCAAGGTAATGCTTGAAAAAAATAAAATCACACATCCTCTAAAGCTTCCAATGAAAATTTCAAAGAAAGCATGCTTTTCTTCAAATTTAGGATTGGACCATTAAAAAAAATAAAGTCTAAATAGATAGACTTTAAACAATTTAATGAATAAGGAAGGCACATAATATATAGTTATGTTATGATTAAAACTATCTAGGAAAAAAGAATTAACATCCCTTAAACTCTTAATAAGAACAATATATAAAATTAACTAGTTAATATAATATAAAAAATAGTGAATGCACACTAGAAACAACTTTATCAATCCATTTTTCTCAGTCCCTATTAAGAGGTTAATTTACTGCAAAAGCGTTTGACACTGATACATAAAAGCTGTTCTATTAACTGTAAACCACCTCATCTTCTCAATTTTGTACTCTCTTCATAAGATGGTATTATTGTAACTGTAAGGCCATTATTTCTCAATTTTGTACTCTCTTCTCAATTAACTGTAAACCACCCCATCTGCAAAATCGTCTGACATTTGCATATTCCCAACCAAGCAATTTCTTTTTCTGAAGTAAGTTATACCACTCATTGCCAAAAATTAATGAAGAATAACAACACATAAAAACAACCACAAAAGATCATGTAAGCCTGATAATGATGATCACAATGGTAAGAAAAACACTTGAAGAACTACTTTCATGATACCTCTTGCTATTATGTATTGAGGATGTAGAAGAACTTAATTGAAGTATATCAAAATTAATTGACTTATCAAATTGAATCTGAAATCACACTTACTATATTGCTTTAGAAAAAGAAAATTCATTCTAAGCTTCAATCTTCACAAACTTATCTATTAATGTATAGTACATTCATTCAAATGTGACCACATATAAATACAAATCATAAACAAATTTACAAATAATAAAGGTGTATAAGATCATACTTGAATTAAAGTAAATCATAACATGTTTTATTGACAGTCCTCAAATTTAAATGCTTAGTTTTTCGGTTTAATTGTTTCTGAATCTTAGAGAGGATTCAAGCCTCAAAGAGAACCATTTCCTTACTTTGTTATATATTTCTTCAACGAATGGAGCCACCATGAAGAAATGAAGGAGAAAATAGTCTTACTTTTGTGCTTTTAAATAATTTCAGATGTTCTATACGTAAATAATAAAGTATGAGTTTCATGTAAGTATGTTTTGGTAGCCCTCTAAATCTGCTCAATTCTTTTGTATTTACAATCTAATATTTAAAGTTTAATTTTTATATAAATGTATAAACTTAACATGTCGGCATTTTTAATGTGATATTGAAGATTTGGGTGAAATGAGTGTAAAGATGCAAAATTTAGGTGTTAAGACATAAATTTTTCAACTAGTGGTATCAGAGATGTTCTGAATTTGTGTCTATTCTTGTTTTTTGGTTGCTCTAATTTATCTGATACCACTTGTTGAAAAATTGTAGCTTGTACTCTTTTCTGGAATTGAAAGGAAAATCGCCTCTGCTCCCGAAAACATAGATAAATTTTGCCGAATCTCATTAAATCTCTTGTCCTTCTGAATTTGTGTTGATTCTTAGTTTCTTTGCTCTTATTTGTCGATAAAGTATATAGAAGTAGGTGCTATATAAGTAAAAAAAAAAAAAAAAAAAAAAAAAAAAAAAAAAAAAAAAAAAAAAATCACAGGAGTGTTGTGACATGCTCGTTTCCCCGCGTCCTTGCCCAGAGATAGAGCAGATTTTCTAGGGTTTCCTCGGCTCAATTCGTATCTGAAATTCTCAATTTTGTACTCTCTTCGTTCCAGATGTCGGCAACGAGGACGCTCAATCCGCTTGCTGCCGCAATTGACCCCGTGCCGCTGCTCGGTGCACGGGGCGGAGGCGGGGACGAGCGCGGATCACGGCCGTCGAGGAGGCCAAGCTTGAGGGGGGCAGCGCGGTTTCTTTGGAGGACAAGAAACCGCCGAATGATGAGGGAGCCGTCGATGCTGGTGAGGGAGACGGCTGCAGAACAGCTGGAGGAGCGTCAGGGCGATTGGGCTTATTCTAGACCAGTGATTATCCTCGACGTCCTGTGGAACATGGCTTTTGTGGTGGTGGCTGTTGGAGTTCTGTTCATGAGCCGGGACGAGCGGCCTACTATGCCGCTGGGGCTGTGGATCGCTGGGTACGCACTGCAGTGCGTGCTTCACATGATATGTGTTTGTGTGGAGTATCGGAGGAGGCGTTCGCCGCGGCAAATGGAATCCGGGCACAGTGGGGATGGGAGCTTGATGGTCGGGAGTCGGTCTACCTCTGATCTAGGCTCTCCAATTGATTTAGAGGGAGGAGTGGGAAGTGGAAATAATGCTTTGGAGGAGGTTCAGGATGAAGACGGTACAAGGTAAAAATTTTCAATTGCTTATTGCTTAAATACATTGATGTATTGATGCTTATATATTTCATTAATCCATTATTGTACGCGGATTTCATTTCTCGCTTTAATTAATTAGATATCAGTAACATTAGTACTAGGATGATTGTAGAGATTTGAGATTCATAGAGCAATTCTGCTTTGCATGATATTTTTTTTCTTCACTTACATCATAATTTCTTCTCATCCTCCTAATAAAGAAATTTTTCTTAAGATCCACTCAATGATTAGCAGGCAATTTTTGCTCTTTACATTTATGAGACTACCAATTGTGATTTCAAAGAAAAGGTAATGAAAGATAATGAATAGTTAGTTTAAATTTCGTATGATTATTTTAATATTATAGTTAGAAAGATGTAATATTTTTTTATATGAATAGTACATTACCTTTGTTTTTATTTCCATTTAAGGATTGATTTTTTTCATTCTTGCAGTTTATAGCCAATTGTAGGATTATTGGAAAAGAATGTTATGATAATATTTGGAGTATTACTTAAAGAATCTCCATTATGGAGCTCTTGAAGGCATCAACCGTTGAAAAATTAAAGGCTTCTTCTTGATGCTATATATGGATAACATGACATTCTTTGTGGAAGAAATGCAAGGCTGCTATCCAATTCACAAGCCGTCATTCCAATAAAAGACATGATTAGATAAATCAATGAATATGAAAAACCCAATTTATAACTCACCACTCCATTTGTGCACATGCCTTCTTTTTATTGGTTTAGGCTTGGAATAATAGAGGCCTTATCTCACACGGTCGATCACATTATATTGCCAAGTAGGGAATTGAACAAGAATAATATTGGCAAAATTTATTTATTGATTTTGGGTGAACCATGAGGGAAACATCTCATAATAATATGTGTAGCGTAGGGATTTAGTATTTACTAAATCAACAAACTAACCCTTTTCCATTTATGACTATTGCATGCTTTCCAAAGCCACTATGTCTTCCTCTTTCAACCCAATGAAGCCCAATCCAAATCCCTCTTTACGAGCATATTAGAGAAGATCACCTTGCTTCCATGAAGGCTAAATAGTTAAAAGTGCTATAACCTTTTTTCCTTATTCTTCTTTTAGTTCCATGTCATGTTAATGAAGCTGCCTTCATATGTCTCTTCAAATATATCAAATGCTAGATCTAATTCTCCTTGGTTATCAAGTTGTAGTTATCTCTGTGGAGGTTATTGCCTAAGTGGTGCCACAGTTCAATAGCATGCTTGTCGCTGTCTAATGACCTCATAGAACCATGGTTGTGTCTAGCTCGAGGCATAGCTATTTATCTAGATGTTATGCCTCAAATTTTCTTTGGTTCAGACATGACGGACCCACCGCGGCACAACTCAAGGTGATAACAAAGCCTTGCTGAAATCTTAGGTAAATTCCTAAGTTGAAATGCTGTTGAAATTTCACGGGCACACCAATAAGTCTATATTAGGTGAAATAAAGCAAAAAAACATTCTAGGATTCATTCTTAGTGCTAAAATGATGATGAACTGCAATGTAGTAAAAACTATAGTGAAAGTTTGCCATTTGATCCTACTGCAAGTGAAAGCTCTGAAACACAAATATGAGGAGAACAGTTAACCACTACAGACATGAGCCATACAAACAATCCCTCATGGTATCTGTTCGAATATATCTTTTCCACTCAACCCAATGGAACCAAATTTCAACTCAAAATCTTTCTTTTTTGTGATCCACACTGCACACAAAATCTGAATTTTTCATGTCCAAGGATTTACCTCACCAACACTAAAGCTTAAAGACCAAGAAAAGATCTTCATCTGTATAAGGAAAGTATCTAATGTTAGTATGTTTACAAATTTGGCAATCTCTTGAACACATGATATTCAATTCTCATCAAATGTCCAGTCATTTGATCATCTATGTGTTATTGTTCGAATAAATCATTAGGCTCTTTCATCTAACCACTATTTGATCTATAGATGATCAAATCATGCAGGAATCTTAAGACGATCAAATTTGACAACATTTTTTCCTACTTAGAAAACTCAACAAAAAAAGTATAGAAGTCACAAAACATTGTAAAATTTGGTTAAAACCCACCACTTTAATCAAGCACAATTAATGATATAAATTTCAGATTAAAATTCAACACATGCAAAAATAATTTCTCCCAAAATTCAATGCTATATAGAATCGAATTTTCTACAGAAGTCTTAAACTTACGAAATGGCTTTGAATTAAAATAGTTTCATAAAATTGCAACAAATTACAAAAGTTAGTTTTATGGTAAGCGCTCATCAAGTTTTATCCACCATATAATTTCTAAATAAAAATTCCATCCATTTTGTTCACAACGAATTTACCATTTTGGATTGCACTCAATCTTCTAAAAATTTTAGTGAATCTGACTTTTATTAGAAAATTCTAAAATGTGGTATTGTTCCTTCGCCACCAATCACAACATTTGATAGAAATACAAAAAAACTGGGCATTTCAGGATTACAAATATTCAAAAAATTTTGAAACTCGAAAACTACCCGAAAAATTCAGTTTGTTGCATCCATGCTCTTTAATTGACATGGATAATATGAACTTCCACAATTTCTCTGATAAAATACATATAATAAATACTCAAATAATCCTCCTCTTATATGTGGTAATACTATAAAAATCTGAAAATTTCCAGTTTTATCCCCACCTCCCCTGCAATGAAACTTGTATCATCAAAAAGTCACAAAGGCTTCCAAACTGAAATTTTAATCCAATTCCCCGTTTTCACTTCAGTAGTGACATAATCCGTGAATATGTTCATAAGTAGAAGCCATATGTATATTGTGCTTATGATTTACATAGGCTAGTATTTATTCCAATATTTGCTCTTGATGAGAGGACTTTGACCAAGCAGTGCTTTTAAAATCTGCTGTTATGTGAAAACCAAGCATACTAATTTGTGACCTAGTCAAATGTGATTATGTTTTTTTTTAAATTTTTTAATTTTTGGTTTGGCACCCAAGTTTTATGGTGCAAAAGCCAACTTTCAACAACAAGCCTTTATCCCACAAAGTGGGGCCGAAAACATGAAACATGAACGCCGAAAACATGAACCCTTTTTCTCCATTGTGTCCTATTGAGCGTCATATTTTTATTTAATTCTAATAAATTAAGATCATCTTTTATACAATATGCCCAAGGCTTTCTAGGTCTACTTCTACTTTTTTTAACATCAATTGAATCTAAGACATCTACTCTCCTAATCAAATCATTAGATGCTCGACATTTCATGTGACCAAACCATCTAAGACAACTCTCTCTAATTTTGTCTGCCACTAGAGCTACACCAACCCTATCACAGATTTATTCAATTCACATTTTGTCTCTAAGTGTAAAGCGACTCATCCACCTAAGCATTCTCATATTGGCAACACTTTTATGCTTCTCTTTGAAGGCCAAAATACTATGCCAAAGAGCCTTGCAGGTCTCACCACCATTTTATAAAATTTTCCTTTCAGTCTAAGCAATACTTTTCTATCACACAATAGACCCGAAGCATTCCTCCACTTCAACTAACCAACTCGAATTCTACTAATAACATCCCCATCTTTATCACCATCACGTTGAACAGTAAACTTGAGACATCTAAAGTGTTTACACCTTTTAATGATTTGATCACTCATAATTACAACTCTGTCGCTAGAGCTACTACTAGTAAAATTACATTCCATGTATTGGTTTTAGTTCTACTCAAATGAAGGCCTTTAGACTCCAGTGTAGATCTCCATAATTCAAGTTTTTCTTGAGCTCTTTCTCTACTCTTATCCACAAGAAGGATATTATCAGTGAAAGATATACACCAAGGTACATTCTCATGTAAATATCCAGTAAGAGCATCCATAACTAGGCAAAAATATATGGGCTTAAAACCGATCTCTGATGTAATCCAACTAACATAGGAAAATAGATGGTCAATCCTTATTATGTTTGAACACAAGTAATAGCTCTGGCATACATTTTCTTATTGACTTGAAAATAAGTCATGTCAACAAGACAGAAGTGTAACTTTGGGTGATCAAATTATAAAATGCGCGAACGTTTTCTTATTGACTTGAAAATAAGTCATGTCAACAACTTTCTTCTCTAGAACTCTCCAAAAGATATTTCTTGAAACCTTTTATTTTTGCTTAAGCTTCCATGGGATTTGATATTATGGTGGACAAAGTGATGTAAAATTGCTGGGCAAGCACCATGCCCACTGACTAAAGTTTTAGCAGGAAAAAATGATATCAAGAGGACAAGAAGAGAGGCCAAATCAGCTGCTATTTTGCTGAATTCTTTTACGTTATTTCTTATAGCAATGTTTCTACACCAAATAGAGTTTCATTGAAAATAAATATTCTTTTTCTTGGAATAAAGATTTGTGGATGTAGTTTTAACCTTCTTTTTTTTATTATTTCTGTTTTAATTCTTCATTTAGTCAATAAGTATCTCTGACTATCCATAGATAGTGTAAGATGTAATCACGTATCTTGCCAAACCCTTATTTTCTACTTGTGTCATTTTTTTGGAGGGTTTGCATATATGTTTACCATGTTTATAATACTCTGTATTTTGAATGCAAGAAGTGTTTGGGTTAGAATTTGTTAATGCAACTAATTTGATATGTAGTATCCTTACATGCAAATAAAATTGAGGTTTGTCAAGCCACAAAATAATTACCTTTTTCTTTATTTAAATTTAAATATGCAACACCTGTGCTAAAACTTGACTGATAATGAAATGATTGAAGTAATCTTTGAAATTTTGTTAAGGCAGAAGTACAATTATTATAAAAAAATATTATTAAGAAAAAGCGTTGAAAGAAGACGATAGTTTTGATAAGATTCTCTTGCGGGTTTAACGAGATTTTCCTGATAGGGCATATTACATGGCAAGATAAGATGGCCTAAGCTGGCTAATCTACTAAGAGGCCTAGCTTGTATACCACTGTTTAAGGCATC